GATAGAATTTGACAAATATTCACTGATGATGTAATAACAGCTTTAAAAGAACTAACTGATGACCATATTTACAAATGTCTTTTCAATCTTATATTTTAAATCCTTAAAGTATATTGAGAATACACATTGAATTTATATACTTGGGAGAATCTATATATACATATTAATGTAGTATTAACAAATTTTATACTTAACTAAAAACAAATAGAAGCAAAATAAATAATAATCTTGTTTTATTTGAAAAATGTAAGAAGAAAAAAGTAATAATGAGATAATTCAAAATTCTTTTTTTTTTGTAGTCGAAAAAAAAAGTAATTAATTTAAAAAGAAACCTTATTTTATTCAATATGCAGAAAAAAAAGAATATTAAAAAGTATGACATTACTGAGAATACCTTAAATTTATAGAAAATTTTATCAAAATAGAAAACTCATATTATTATTTCATCTGAAATTATGAGACTAGGATTTTTTTAATATTTTAACATTCAACTTGATTTATACTTATTGTTTAAGTAAACATATTGATAAATAATTTTCTCACAAGAATAAACTAAACAGAATCACATAATTGATATAATCAATATGGAGGAAATTTAAATCATAAACTTACGTATTGAATTTAATATTTTTCACATATAATACAAGAAGTTCGAATAGAATATCAAATAAATATGACCTTGTGATGTATTGCCACGCTTTGTTATATTAACATGCATTACGATAGTAATAGAACATCAATATGGAAAATGTATACTCCTAGCGGAAATATTTTTGCTTTCTTCCAATATACTTCCTCTATGAGATCGTAAAAAAGAAAAGAAAAAAAAACATTTGCATCAACTTTCATCAAGATCTACACGTCCTCTACTGATCAGAATAGACATATTTATTATTGTAAATTATTACGCTTTGAATTTTCTTGATAAAAAAAAAATAAACAATCTCAATATGTTTTTCTTTAATACTGATAGAACATTTTGAGTATAAACCAGGATACATCATTACATAATCATTTGACGTTCTTTAAATAGCACATATCTTACAAGATAGAATCATCGTCATTATTTTGTTCCATCTTATATCGTTTGTTGTTTAACTATTGTTCTTTCTTTTTTTATGAAACTCACACTTATCTATGTCTAGTTCAAGAATTGTTGTACATCTAGATTAAGTATGTCCTTTAAGTTACTAGATGTTCTAATTATTGTCTGAGGGCAATAATGCAATAATATTATTCAGTTTTATTTTCAATACAAAAATAATGACCAGAATTGTTTGAAGTTTTATATCATAAATTTGATGCCAGTGTTTTTTTCAAGCATTGTGTAGAAAACTCAATAAAATCTATACACTTGAACTTTGAAATTCATTATACGTGATTCAATTTGTTATATTCAATGTGCAAATAATTGTTAATGAAATATGATACTGAATCAAAATGTTGCTTATATCCAAGTTGAGTTGTCAGTATTTTCATACAGGCTATCTATTATTCAAAATCATCTTTTGATAAAAAGAAATCAATTTTTTTTCAATGAAACTGACCAATACAAGCAAATTATGAAAGCAAAACAATGATTTTTCATTGAGATACAAAGTTGCAAAAAAAAAACAAATGAATATTTTCAATTTTTTCAAAAAATACGTATGTCAGAATTCATTTTCTTCTCGTCCGTACTTGAATTGATGTTTTATGAGGAATATCTCATTTGAAAGACAAAATAAAATTCAATAAGATGTTGTATTTTTAAAGACTAAACTAAAATGATATGTAGAAGTCTAAAAGCTTACAAAATCCTCTATTTAAAAAAATATAGTTCTAGATTTTCTATGCCACAAATTTTATTAGACTAAATTATAGAGAGTATTTTTTTTTCTACAAGATACATAACGTTTTATATGTTTAGAAAACGTGAAGAATGCTTAGAAAGACAAAATACTGAGAATGACTACAATAGTTGAAAAGCTGAAATTTTCGAAAATGAAGTTCTATGATCTTTCAGTCATAGATACGGATGAAATTGATGTTGGTTAGAGTGACATTTGTTGGTACAATGTTAGAAATCAATTTTCATTAGACTTGAGAAAGCATTATAGTTTGTCTCACACATATGTCTTTCTAGTATCTAAAAATATCAAAATGTGCATTTGTCTTCATTCTTGTTGATCTTTTCTCAAATCGAAACAAAGTTTCGTTATATGTGCATGATTTCATTAGATTATTCATCTTCATTTGATGAAAACTACACTGATATAGATCAGTAGTAAAATAGAATCATCTCTGCTTTCATTCATTCTATCGCTTTCATACTATATGAATAAAACACATAATTCAATGTGAACTCACTTGATCTCTTGTATGGCCATTTTGAAGCATATCGTATCATAGAAGAAAAAGAAATAATGATTGGCTATGATCAAGGTTAATATGGATGCATTCAGATAGAAATGACTACTGTCTCCTTAACTTTATGTAGACGAGATACATATTGATGGTCGATGATGCATGCAATAAATGAATGAAGGAGAAGAAAGAGAATGATGATAAACAAAGTTACTGTTATTAAAACGTGAATGTGTCGTATTGAAATTATTCGTTAATGCTTTAAAATTTGATTAATTCATTTTTTCGTTCACGACTAATTGGTTCTTTTTCATCAACTTTTTCGAGCACTGGGAAGAGATAATGATTGTTACAAACAGTCGTATAGATTCTTTTTTGTTTTACGTTTAACTCCATAATTATAGGTTCTATTTCTAATTCAAACAAATTTTTTGAAGATATGAATACTTCTTTTTTACGCAATTTCTAGAAAAAAATTGCAAATATTTTATATCGTTGGGTAGAGCAATGTATATTAAATAAAATGATGCAAAAGTCATTCAGTTATCTTTAAAATTGCTTGAATAATTAGCAGTATCTTTTTAGTTTTTTCAGATTTTTGTTATATTACTAAGGAAATGGAATATTTCTTTGTAAAAGAATAAAAAATGGTATTGTTTATTGAAGTTTCTATTATCAAAACGCAATTGAAAAGCAACATAAATAGCATATTCAGAATCAGCATGAAAATATATGCTAGACCACATGTGAGTGAAAATACAAGTTGGTTTTTCATGAAAAAATAATTTTTCTAAAATGTATGTAGCCCAGTGTAGATTTTGATGTTGCTTCTCCTGAAAGAAAAACTAAACAGATACTTTTGTAACTCTAAATTGACTGATTCAAATCATATAAGACATTTTGTTTCATATTCTATTACAAAGAACTAGATAGATTTATAAAAGTGCCTATGTACATATACTATAAGGCTTCATATCTTGGTAGCTATTTTTTACTTTATTTATTCTGAAAGAATTTTGAAGAACAAGATTATTGAAACTTTAGAGTTATTTTGAGAAAAAAAAGTGATTCTTGCTATATCTGTGGTCTTATCAGTTTTTGGAGCTTTATGGAACGAAAGGATGATCTAATTGAAATAAGAATTTTATATTCATAACCAGTTCTTGAAAATTTGTCCAGTCATAGGATTGTTACAAGAAAAGAATATGTAAAAAAAACTGTTCAAATCAATCGATAGAAACATAAGTTACTAGAAGACTCTAGCTAAAGTCTTTCAATGTACTAAGAAGTTATCATTTATTCACATTATATTCCTCTTGACTTTGTTTTCTTAAATATGACCTAACAGGAATGTTGAAGTATAGGTATAAAAAAATTTGAATCATCTCTTTCCATTCCAATCCTTCATCTCACAGACAGTGGACAATCAGGTGCCAGAATTGATTTATGAGATGTGATCCTATGTTGCAGTTGGCATGAAAACTGTTATTTATATGCATTTAACTGCATTTGAGATTCTCATTAAAGGTAATAGTGGTCTCGCAGCAACTACTAAAAAGTAGGTAAGACAAGACAACATTACTAATACAACCCTATAAGTAAAATGTATGTTTCAGATTGATGTTCTTATTATATTCATTAGATGTTTTACAATTATTTAGCGTTATATGTTTACTATGTACTACAGGCATTTGTTACTTCTTGAGATTTCTTCTGCTCTAATAGAGCTAAAACTGCCGGTAATGTGCTTAAAAGCAACGACTGATAAATGATATAATTCCTTTGTCGGCATTTCTAGAACTTTTACTTGAATTTTAATCTATTATCAAATAGTAGATGTCGCCAACCAACTTTGATAGATGCACAAAGACAGTGGATCTAAGCCCTTGTTGAGATATGGCATTTCAATTATAATTTTGGGCTGAGATCCATGCAGAGTGGCCTGTATAATAACTATTTATCTCTCAAATCAATTGAATTTCCAATGAGTAATATAAGTTCAAATATATGTATGCTTAAGCTTCTAAAACATGCGTTTGGTTGTAACCATAGACATGTACTGATAACCAGCGTCAAATAAGAAACATAACTAAACAAAACGCCAAGTCATTAGCTTTAGTAGTTGAATGGATTACTTCTGACTCCATTTTTCTCTCCACTGTGCAGGACTTCTGCGTCGCATATCGTAGCATGTCATGATATAGATCACAAATCGTATATTAATGACATCTCTATATAAAGAACGAAATACTTCATTATCCCATTTCTCGACAATTAATGCGAAGGATGATGAAGAGATATATGTACCAAAACAGTTACAGCAAAATAATCTTCATGTGATTAGCAAGAGCAGCTACATCGTTTTTCACATATGACTCTTACAGGAATTATATTAACAGATTTTTTTTTATTAACCACACCAATAAGCAACAATATCACAGCAACAAAGAAAAGATCAAAATACAATACTTAATATTTTTTCACAAAAATAGCTCTTTTTCCGTTGAGTCAACATAAAATCCAGCTTTCATGAAATTCTTAGCACTTGTTTAGGCATTGTAAATAAACGAAGAAGAAATGAATTCGTTGTAATAGTATGTAATTTGAATCGTATTACAACTATTCAATAGATGATGATAAAAGTTTAATATGTTTTAAGATGACAAAGATTTTTTTCTTCCATATGCAGCCAATTCTTCAAGTGTCATATACTTTGATTCAAGTGCCATACGCATTGCCTTAAATACAAATGAAAAATAGACATTTTTAGCATCTCTCTCTCTCTCCATTCACTCTTGTTCTTACATAAGCTTGAGCAGTTTTCCCATTTTTATATTTTTCCAAGTCAGTTTGATTATATTTACCCATTTTGAAAACAAATTTTGAAAAAGGTAAATCTGTATGCCAACAATGTAAATTAAGACGTATCCCTTTTTGAACATATTCCACTCTATCATCTGTTGTTAATTGGTCGAGAAGATTATGACCTATTAGTATGCGAATTTGGTTTATACCAACTAAATGATTTAAAGCTAATTGTTGACCATATAAAAGTAAAACACCATAATGCCTACAAAAGTATATGTATTTTAGTTGATCGCATAAAAAAAATATTTACCATTCAGGCCACATTAATGTTCCTAATTTAGACTCTCTTTCCGGCATAGCAAATTCATATAATGCTAACCATAGCATACCATGTAGTGTTTGATTAGCAACTAAATATCCATCATATGGTGAACCATACCTTTACATGAAGAGAATAATAATATTATTAATATAAGAAAAGATAATGAAACAAACCATGTCGAGCCCATGTTAAGTAAATTGACATGTGCAAAGCCCATATCATGAGCAATACTTTTCAATTTACGTCGATTGAATTCTGTGGTATATCGACCACCACCAGTTATGAAAGCGCAATTTGATGGAATATATGTTGCAAAATGATGATAAATGAAAACATCTAAATAATGTCATGTGAGAAAATGATTGGATCAAATTAGTAAAAAACAAAGAGACAAACAAAAGAATGTTAGAAAGACATCGAATAGTAATTTTTAATAAAAAACAAGATTTGGTTGAGAACTACTAGAGTTATAGTTGATTTTAACTCATCGTAATCTTTATTTATTATTTATGTAATCGACTAGCTGATTGTTTGAATTATATGTCATTGATGTACAAACCAATAAATCAAAAGTGTGCACAAAGATTCATGCGTACTATAAGTTTTGATATATATTTTTGCCTGAATGATAACGAGACAAATATCTTTTCTGAATAAAAGTATCTATTTACTTTCCTCCCTTGTTATTCATTAGTTTTTGCCTTTGTATAAGCTGTTTCTTTATGTCGAGACGAGCGAACGAACAATATTTGTATAGCAGTGAATGTAATTGATGTAATGTATTTGTGGTTATGCAATACACATTTTCTTCTAATTTATTATACGTCGGATTTATTTTAATCTAATGTCGGCATGAAAGTTAAAGGTACTCGGTTACAATTGATCAAGTCGAGAACATAAGCAACTTGAGATCTGCAGTTTTCAATTATCAAGAAGGAAGACATGTGAACATGTTTTTAGTCAATAACATATAGGACAAAATCATTTGAAAACGAATGATTTCCATAAAACATTCAAAAAGTGTGTGAAAATAGTCTATTATCTCGATGAAATTTTGATTTTGACATGCTTCTAGATAGAGGAATCTGAGAAACTATAGTTCAAGAAATAATTTCAATAATTACTTTCTCACATGCTAATGCTGAGCAGAATAATACTGTGTATCTGTTCGATCAAGTACTATGGAACTTTGTTGATTTTTAAGCAAACTTTTTTGACTGATTATCAAAATTTTATCGGAATTATAGACTATTTTCATATAATTTTTGTAAATGTTTCCTAAAAATCATTGATTTCACAATGATTTTGTCCTACGCATTATTAGCTAAAAACACGTTATCATGTCTTCTCTTTCGATTGCTGAAAGTGTTCTCGACTCAATCAATTTGAAACCGAGTACCTTTAAGCCTAGCAATGACATGAGCTATTGAAGTTACTATTTTCAATAATCCATTATTTTATTGCTTTGCTAAAGTATATTATGAATAAATGATGAGCACTGGTAAGATGACACTTATGTTAACAAATCAATCAATAATATTTTGTTACAACAACTGACCTTGCTACATGATGACTATCAATCGCTGTATTTTCAATACTCTCATTTTCTTTTAGGGTGAACTATACATTAATCATACATAATTATCCTATATAATTGAACATACGACACTTAACATCTCACTAATATGCACTGATTATAGGATATCAAATAAATACGTCCGTTCTTCACAAATGCACATTGCTCATGACAAGGTCTTATTTCAACTACCACAATTTCAATGATGAAATAATATATCCAACAAGTATTAACTGAAAATTACACATATTTGGAGTTTTTGTTTCTGACTTGAATGCGTATATATCTTTTATTGTATGGAACTGACAGCTTAGCAATCACGTTGTTCTCTTACTCACATTACACACTTCACTGATTGAGGAGCATCCACATTGAAATCCATTTTTAAAGGTCTAGAGTATTCAACGCCTGCATCGAAATCTGCCTGCCTGGAATACGTTTGTGAATGTTCTAAAGACTTCAGTTTTTGAGTTTTATGTATATAAAAAGTTATATTCAACATATCAACAATCATGACTGATAACGTATTGATTTGACACAGTTGTCATATGATCAACATAAAAATTGTGAGTTGATCAAGTTATAACTTTAAAAGATAATCGAAATCAGTTTTTCGTGAATTGATCGAGATATACAATAGTGCGTTAAGATATACTGTTGTAGATATAATGAATATTTACAATAACCTTATTTTCCATTTAATTCAATGCTTAGAGTGATAACAATGTTCATATCGATTTTTCAATTCCTACTAATGATGAAACGCGAATAAAGACTTAGTTTACACTAACAACATCATTCAAAATAAACTTTGAATAGAATATTCAGAAAATATTGAAAAGCATTCCATTGAAAAAGATATTCTGTGCGTTACTCTATAATTGCAATTCAACATCTTTCTAGGTTTTAGTCTTTCAAATGAAAATAGTTTTCATATTTGGTTAGACACTTTCTACAACATATTATTAGTTAACCTCATAGAAGTTAGTCGATGAGATCTGATATGACACAAGAATAAAGATTGATATTTTCTTATTGAACTCAAGTGATGTCTTGTGTTCAATCAAACGATGAAATCTTGTTCTCAAGAGTATCAAGACTTCAAATACGGTTACATCATTTTCAATGAAATTCTAGATATTTACTATTATAATAGTTTTAAGAATTCCTCTAAAGTTTTTATTGAAACAAATTATTTCTTTTTTACCGCAAAATCAATTAAATAAAAACTTTCTTATGTCATAAAAAAACATGGATAACCAGAGTTTGTGAATATTGTATCATTTTGAAACAGAAAATATTTTCATTAATACTTTTAGAAAATTTTAATGATTATAAGATCTCTAAATTAGCAAATTTTCATATGAAGTTCTATTGCTCATTGTTTTTGTTTTTGTTTTTGTGAGTAATTTGCTCGATATTGAAAAGCTAGCAAAATGATCTTAAATATTCAACAAAGTCTTATCAAGTGAAAATCTCTTAAAATTTTTCTTTCAATACTATTCTTATCAAATACTGAACATATTCTTGAAAATGATATTCATTAACTAGAGTCATGTGTTCATGAATTAAATTTCACAATAATCACTATACAATAAGAGATAATATCTGTCTACATTACTAAATATCTTCTTTCCTTTACATTAGATAACATCTTAATCTCATAGAATGCTCACAAAAACGCTTTACTTCGTCTTATGAAAGAACTAATAGACATTAGTTT